TTTCTTCCCTCGGGGATCAGATTAGCTTCAACAACTGCATTTATTATTGCTGAAATTACATATCTACCTTCAACATTTTGAGCTCTGAGACTTAACTTAAAATTGCCTACCGTGGCAAAAATACAGGAAAATGTTTCTCTGTACTTTTCACTCTAATGTGATAGAATAAAGGCAATTTAAAAAATCAGATCACTGCAGGTGCCCATGTGTCTTTACAGCTCTTTTGTTTGAAAGTCAGAGTTACAGAGAAGGAGATGAAGAGGCAGATGCAGAGAGAGAGCGAGAGAGTGAGTGAGAGAGAGAGAGGTGTTCCATCTGCTGCTTCAATCCCCTAAATGGATGCAATGGCCAGGAAGCTGGAGCTTCATCTGGGTCTCCCAAGTGGGTAGGGGGGCCAAGGACTTGGGCCATTTTCTGCTGCTTTCCCAGATGCATTGGCAGAGAACTGAATCAGAAGTGGAGCAGCCGGAACTCAAGCCAGCACCCATGTGGGATGCTGGCACTGCAGACAGTGGCTTTACCTGCTGTGCCACAGCGCCAGTCCCTTACTTCATACAATATAGAGAATTATTATGATTAACAATAAATTGAATCATAGGCTTGATCTCAAAAGCAAATCTCTTCAAGAAAAATATTCTACAGTAGTGTTTTAAAAACTGTTAATTTCATGAGATATTTTTCCCCAGAAAACTCTTATTTAAGGTATACAAAGTTCATGCATTTCATAAATGCAACTTTAGGAACATAGTGATTCTTCCCACTGTACTCACCCTCCCACCTGCACTCCCACCCTTCTCCCTCTCCTATTCCCATTCTTATTTTTGCTAAGATCTATTTTCAGTTAACTTTTTTTTTTTTTTTTTTTTTTGACAGGCAGAGTGGACAGTGAGAGAGAGAGACAGAGAGAGAAAGGTCTTCCTTTGCCGTTGGTTCACCCTCCAATGGCCGCCGCTGCAGCCGGCGCACCGCGCTGATCCTGGCAGGAGCCAGGAGCCAGGTGCTTTTTCCTGGTCTCCCATGGGGTGCAGGGCCCAAGCACCTGGGCCATCCTCCACTGCACTCCCTGGCCATAGCAGAGAGCTGGCCTGGAAGAGGGGCAACCGGGACAGAATCCGGCGCCCCAACCGGGACTAGAACCCGGTGTGCCGGCGCCGCAAGGTGGAGGATTAGCCTATTGAGCCACGGCGCCGGCTCTATTTTCAGTTAACTTTTTACACATAAGATTAATTCTATACTAAGTAAAGAGTTCAATAAATAGTATAAAAAATACTTCCTCAACAGTCAAGACAAAGGCTCTTCAAAGTCATTGCATCTCAAAGTGTCATTTTCACTTCTATGGACTACCTTTTAGGTGCTCTGTTAGTTTCCACAGATAAAGGAGAACATAGGGTATTTGTCCTTTTGGCACTGGCTTATTTGACTAAGTATGGTTTTTTTCCAGTTTCATCTATTTTGTTGCAAACAACAGGATTACATTTTTTACCACTGTGTAGTATTCCATGGTATACATTTCCCATAATATCTTTATGAAGTTTTCAGTTTATGAACATTTGTGTTTATTCCATCTATTAGCTATTGTGAGTTGAGCTGCAATAAACGTGGGGGTACAGATAACTCTTTCATATGCTGCTTTTATTTCCTTTGGGTAAATTTCCAGTAGTGGAAGCCTGGGTCATATGGTAGATCTGTATTTCAGATTTCTGAGGTATCTCAATACTGTCTTCCACAGTGGCTAGATCAGTTTACATTCTCACCAACAGTAGATTAGGGTACCTTATCCCACACATCCTCACCAGCATTTGTTGTTTGTTGATTTCTGTGTGAAAGCCATTCTAACAGAGGTGAGGTAAAACCTCATATAGTTTTGATTTGCATTTCCTTGATAGCTAGTGATCTTGAGGATTGATTTTTTTTGGCATTTGGATTTCCTCTTTTGAAAAATGCCTGTTAAGTCCTTTCTTATGCATTTCTTACCTGGATTGTTTTGTTGTTGATGAATTTCTTGAGTTCTTTATATATTCTGGTTATTGATATTTTATCAGTTTCATAGTTTGCAAATAATTTCTCCTGTTCTGTCAGTGGCCTCTTCACTTGGCTGTTTCTTTTGTAGTACAGAAACTTCTCAATTTAATGTAATCCCATTTGTCAGTTTTGCCATTGATTGCCTTTGCCTCTAGGGTCTTATCTAAGAACTCTTTGCCTATGCCAATTTCTTGCAGGGTTTCCCCAATGTTCTCTAATAATTTGATGGTATCAGGTCATTGATTGTATTAGGTCATTGATCCATTTTGAGTGGATTTTTCTGTAAGATGTAAGATAAGGGTCTTGTTTCATACTTTTGCATGCAGAGATCCAGTTTTCCCAGCACCATTTGTTGAAGAGACTATCCTTGCTGCAGGGATTGATTTTAGCTCCTTTGTCAAAGATAAGTTGGTTGTAAATGCATGGATTGATTTCTGGAGTTTCAGTTCTGTTCCATTGGTCTACCCATCTGTTTTTGTACCAGCACCATGCTGTTTTGATTATAACTGCCCTGTAGTATGTCTTGAAATCTGGTATGGTGATGCCTCCAGCTCTGTTTTTGTTGTGTAAGATTGCTTTAACTATTCGAGGTCTCTTGTGCCTCCATATGAATTTCAGCATCATTTTTTTCCAGATCTGAGAAGAATGTCTTTGGTATTTTGATTCATATTGCATTGAATCTGTAAATTGCTTTTGGAAGAATGGACATTTTGATGATACTGATTCTTCCAATACATAAACATGGAAGATTTTTCTATTTTCTGTGTCTTCTTCTATTTCATTCTTTAATGTTTTGTAATTCTCATTGTAGAGATCTTTAATGTCCTTTGTTAAGTTTATTCCAAGATATTTGATTTTTTTGTAGCTATTGTGAATGAGATTGATCTTAGAAATTCTTTCTCAGTCATGGCATTTTTTGTGTATACAAAGACTATTGATTTTTATGTGTTGATTTTCTATCCTGCCACTTTACCAAACTCTTTTATGAGTTCCAATAATTTCTTAGTGGGATCTTTTGGACCTCTTCAAGAAAAATATTCTAAAATAGTGTTTAGAAAACTGTTAATTCCAAGAGATTTCTTTTTCCATCAAGTCAAAAAGCCAGATACACTTGGGAAATACTGCATATTAATATTTTTCTCTTAGATAGTCATAGTCCATACAATGTTTTTAAGTTTCTGAGATGGACTCAGAAAGGATATTGGTTTAATTTTTCTAATCTCAAAGATCTATGACCATAAAAGCCTTTGTTGTTTGGTTGATTTTTGTTTGAAGTTTGTTGGAGGTAAAGGGATTTGGGGTTTTTAGAAACTATTATGAATTCCAGAAAATGCAAAATAAAAAGCTTCTCTTCCTCTCTCACTTTTTTCTAATCAAGTTTACAAGTGACAACCAACATTAGTGAATGCCACTATATAAGTATCTCACATATTTCTTATCTAGGCCAGTGGTAAAATTGTGCGGTCATTGTTATATGCTCTGTTATATGCTCTACTCCCAATCTACAACTATAGTAAAAAACACATCTACTTCCAAGATTGTTGTGAGGCTAAAAATATGTTTTAAATTCTGACATATGGTACATGGCTTGTAAATGTTACTTTACTTCCTTTCACTGTCTCATTCCTTCTGCAGGGAGCCATTTGATCTGTGCACACACATCTGAATCCTCGTCATATACTGGCTTGGCCCTCACAATGGGTGATTTCTTATCACAAATTCTAGTCACCATTCAGGCTTTATGGAGCAAGTTTAATGCTCCCTCCCTTCTTTTCTTTTTCTCCTTTTTCTTTATAGGCACACATGAGCTCAGAAATCAGAGAGGCAAATATTTGTAGAGACCAGACAGGTAACTTAAATTAAGTAGAGTGGCAGAGCTTAAAAGGAAAGTGATCACTGGGCCTTCTGCCAGTGTGTGGTGGGAGATGGGAAAACTGAAGTGCCCATGCCACATCCAGAAGCAGCAGCTACAGCTCAGCTTTAACAGATTGTAGCCACCCAAATAATTCAGAGATATTTTCATAACCATGTTCAGCGCTGTGTAAGCCAGACAAAACATGGCTAGGTGCCAGATCAGACTGCAACCTCAGTTTAGATAATTGCAGTCTTCACACCTTCCATAGCTAAATGGCACAGTAATTTCATACTGGTAAGTATCCGATGCCTGGCACTGAGAATGTGGGGCAGAATTGCCATCTGTCCTCCAGGCATCTGTGGTCCAGCCATAGCCTGGATAAGCATCTTGGTTATCAGTTATTTCTCCTAAAGTAGATTCTGTTTGTCTGTCAGGCTTTTTCCCCCTTCCTAATACTGAACAATTCAACAAAATAGAAATGCTAGAAATTTTCTAGAAATATAAATGTGGTTCAACTAGCACAGGGTATAGACTCAATTTTCTCCTGATTTAGAAAATGTATTTCTAATTCTGGGCCATTAGATCTCATAATAGTTCATGAATTAATTTTAAGGGCTCTGTGAATCCACTGAAATAGTATAAAATATCTTGTTGCATTTGCATAACCTTAAAACAGTTCATGGAAAATGAAATCATAAGATAAATTTATTTTGGTGCAAAAATGTTTGAAATCTGTGTGTACAAAGTGTTTTCAAAAAGTTCGTGGAAACTGCATATTATGAAAAATTTAAATTGCACCATATTAAATATATCTTTTAATTCTATTTCCATGAACTTTATAAACTACTCTCCTATTTACATACCTTTCAATAGATCCTTTAAAATAAAAAACCTTGTCTTTTCATAACCCTCTGCAGGATACTAGTGCAATTACCACACCCACCAACCCAATGAATGTGATGCAGTTTTTTATCCAAGTGTGAAACCTAATATTCTTATTTATCCTATTTCATTTTATTAGATAATGCTATGATTCTAAGGCTTGAAAAATAATATACTGCTGGGAAATTTAGTTCATATGTATTTAAATGCATTTCTTTTCTTCTTTTGTTCTTCTCTATAGGGCGAAAGTTTAAAAAGTTCAATAAAGTCAGAGTCATGAGAGCACTCGATGCTGTTGCTCTCCCACAGCCAGTGGGCATTCCAAATGAAAGCCAACGAATCACTTTTTCTCCAAGTCAAGAGATACAGTTAATTCCCCCTCTAATCAACCTGTTAATGAGCATTGAACCAGATGTGATCTATGCAGGACATGACAACACAAAGCCTGATACCTCCAGTTCTTTGCTGACGAGTCTTAATCAACTAGGCGAGCGGCAACTTCTTTCAGTGGTAAAATGGTCCAAATCTCTTCCAGGTAATAATACTTTATATAAAATACATGTAAGTAAAAATATGCTGTGGTTGTTGTCCTAGCAGATTGTTAAATACAACAGTTTGTTAGGTAAATTAACTATAATGCAAATGCCATGTTATAGTATGCCTTTAAAAAGTTCATTTATTCTCTTTTTTTACATTAACTTTTTTGCTGTGACCTCCAAGTGTTTCAGCGGTTCAAACTGTCTGGAACCCTAATATGTGCTATGGAAATACAAAGAAGCAGAGAACACAATGAGTCTTGTTGATGACTCATGAATTACATGCATGAAACAGTTAAGGAATATCTTAAGTTTATGTATTCAACCACAGATGTCATAGTAGTCCAGAGAAAGACAAGTTGATAATTTTCTTAAAAATGTATAGTTCGTCCTAAGCCCCAGTTTAACCAACCTGAGTTGGTTGAACATAAAACTGAATTATGTATTCATATAAGAAATGAAAATAGTATTTTGAGAATGATGAGGTGTCTATAGTCAATTAAGAAAAAGATTCCTAGACATAAGGGAAGATAGTCCAGCAATGCTGAGAATTTTGATTATACCATCATAAAAAGATTTTGGTTATTTTACTTGTCAGCTACTTTAGCTTTGTAGGAACCAAGTGGTTGAAAAAATTTCAAGGGTGAAATTTTCACTTAGTTAAATCTGAGACTGCAGAGCCAAGAGAATTACGTGTAGTAATTGTTTGCAGAGGTGTTAATCTCAGAATTAGAATTAGAACTTTTTTTTAAATGACATCCTTTTCACATCAATATTATACTCCTTTTAGACTAATTTATTTTTCCAATATCTGATTAAGAATTAAACATTATGTTCTTCCAGTCCCCAAGTAAATTCAATAGCTCTTTTTTTTAATAAAAAATTCTTTCCAAACTTTTCTTAATATATTTCTCAGTTATTCTTCTACCTGGAAAGTTTGAAGTATAATAGATGAATTGTTATTAAAAATTCAAGGTTACATGAGAAAGAAAGGAAAATAGATTCCTGTTTGTTGAATCCTTTTCAAAAATACACATTGAGCAAAGTTAATAAAATTCAGTATTCTAATCTAGATGAAGTAATTTTATAGGAAAATCAAAATGTCCTGGTTGTTATTAGCTTCATTCTTGCTGAAGATCTTGAGCAAGTAAATTTTTTCCCCATTGGGAAAGTTGTAAATGCTTAAAACTTACTGTTATGGTGGTTATCAAATTTTATAGATGGTTATTAAATAAATATCATTAATTACATAGATGAAATTTCTCTGTTTAAAATAGAAGTATTTTTTTAAAGATTTATTTTATTTATTTGAAAGCCAGAGATACACAGAGAGCAAAGAAGAGCCTGAGATAGAGGTCTTCCATCTGCAGGTTCACTCCCCAGATGGCCGCAACGGCCGGAGCTGTGCCGATCCGATGCCAGGAGCTAGGAGCTTCTTCTGGGTCTCCCACATGGGTGCAGGGGCCCAAGGACTTGGGCCATCTTCTACTGCTATCCCAGGCCATAGCAAAGAGCTGGATCAGTAGTGGAGCAGTCAGGACTCGAACCAGCGCCATATGCAATGCCAGCGCTTCAGGCCAGGGCTTTAACCCACTGCACCACATTGCCGCCCCCAAAATAGAAGTATTTAAACAAGTGTTTTTCTAATATGTGGAAAAGGTGATTTTTTTTTTATCATTCATGCTCCTTTTGTTTGCATGTTGGTGATTCTTTACTGTATAAAAATTTCAAGCATTAACTGGCAAGGATGGAAAATAACCAGTTATCATTACAAAGAGAATTTATTCACTATAAATAAAAGCTAAGTGAACATTTTTCCCACTAAGTGAAAATAGTTACCTATCAGATTTTTTTTTCATTCCCAAACAGCCTCAAAAAAAGAGACCAAAATTTTTCATTGAATTTGGTGATAACCTTTACTGTTGCAGACTGTTATATGTATGTAGTGATTCAGAATGATGGCAACACCACTGTTACACAGACTGTTTCATTACCTGTAAAACAGGAAAGCATTCAGACTGTTAAAGTTGTGTGGACTGTGGTCTTTTTAAACCATAGTATATGGCTTACATGTTGGTGGGAGCACTGTAGAATGTATGATGAAGATAGTCGGGGAACTAGAGTGACTATTTTGACCTCTCAAGGCTAAAAAGGACACACAGATACAGTCTGGTATCATGAGCTACACAGACACCAATTGCAGTTGACTTGAAACAAGGTTACAGTTTCTATTCACTCTGTCTTTCAATAAATGCCTATCATATACCTGCTATGTACAAGACATAAGAATTGAGCAGTAGTGTCAGGAAGACAAACAAGAAGGCTAAATGACTGATGTGAATGCATTTTGGTGCAGTGCATTTGGTAATTAGTTTTGAATGCGAGACATCTGTTTTATCCATTCACTCATGTGTAATAAGACTAATAATAGTTTATGGGAAATGGACTTTAGTTCCATGAGCCATATTAATTAGCCAGAATGTGAATTTACTAATTCACAGTGCCAAAAATACATATACTGCGAGGTAAACATGTTGATAGAACAGGTCATTTTTTCACAATAGAGAAGTGTGTTTAGGAGTCAGGTTAAGATCACATGCAGAATGATCACCACAGCCAAGTTCTCAACAATATTAGGGGCCCCATGCAAATTCCACAGGTACCCCCAAAATTCCTCTTGCCTTGTCAGCTCATCCTTTGTTTCTATACTCTTCCATTTCTTGGAGCTCTCACAACAATTGTAGCATATCTGACATGTTTCCAATAATATTTCGGAAGTACCCCATTTCATTTAATACATACTGTAGCCTTGTGATAGCATAACAAAAAATTATGCCTTAGGATACATTGAATCTGACATTTAGCACTTATAAATGAATAATTTTACATTGATTTTTATCTGTAGCTTTGGTGGGTAATATTTTCTTCTAGGTAGGGTGGAGCAACACAATATTTGAAACAAATTTTAAATGAACAAGATATATTCTCTCCATTAAGAAACTTGCAGTCCAATGAGGAAGATAAGATAACCAAATAGCAGCATTGTGTGAAAGTGACATGAGATAAGATACTTAGAAAGTGGAGATGGGAGAACATTTTTGGCTTCAGAGACTGGAGAAGACTTCAGAATTAAGATATCAGTTAACCTTCATCTTAAAGAGAAACAAGAAATGAGATTTTGATAAGTCATGATAAAAAGAGTGTTCCAGATAGAAGGGGCAGCGTGACTGATGCCATAGAATAAGGAAGCCAGAGGTGTGCTTGGTGAGTAATGATCGAGTCCAGCCTCAGCCATTGTATCCCAGGCTTTTCAAGTGTGAAAGTTCCACAATAACATCAAAATTTTTAACATGTACTAACCCTGCAGGGTAATAATTAAAGCCGTTAGTAACTGGTGATTGAGAAAACACGTGTGTGCATATGATTTCTCCAGCATTACTGCAATAGATCCTGGCCTTGTGGGGTGTCTTCACCTCCACAGTCAGAAATCAGTGATGATGAATTTATATTGGTTAGAATAACAGAAAGTAAAGTTCGAGGTACGTTATGGACTGATATATAGGGTCTCAAAACTTAGTGTAGGCTTTAGAAATTTAATTTGTAAGTACTTATTCCCAGTTCAGTTTCACCTTTAAATGGTCTTTCATCCTTTGAATCAAGATATTGTAGTAGAATTGATATGACAGGTAAGTTTGTAGAAAATATTTCCATTTTACATGTTTTCTCTTGATACTTATATTTAGTCAGTGAGAAACCTATTCAGGTCAGTGTTTGGACATTTTTAGACATTGCAATTTTGAATACATAACATATTTCTTGTTTTCAGTAACACAAACTATCTGAAAATTTTGAGTAACAGAAGACTGAAACTATGCTGTGCTGCATTTTCTTTTTTTTTTTTAAGATTTATTTTATTCATTTGAAAGACAGAGTTACAGAGAGAGGTAGAGACAGAGAGGTCGTCCATCCACTGGTTCACTCCCCAGATGGCCGCAATGGGCGGAGCTGTGCCAATCCAAAGCCAGGAGCCAGGAGCTTCTTCCAGGTCTCCCACATAGGTGCATGGGTGCAGGGACCCAGGGACTTGGGCCATCTTCTACTGTTATCCCAGGCCACAGCAGAGAGCTGGATTGGAAGAGGAGCAGCCGGGACTAGAACTGGCACCCATATGGGATGCCAGCGCTTCAGGCTGGCCCTGCTGCATTTTCTATCTTTATTTTTTTGTTTTTATTTTTTGACAGGCAGAGTCAGAGAGAGAGAGAGAGAGAGAGAGAGAGAGAGAGAGAGGTCTGCCTTTTTCTGTTGGTTCACCCCTCAAGTGGCCGCCACGGCCAGTGCGTTGCGGCCGGTGCGCTGCGCCGATCCGAAGCCAGGAGCCAGGTGCTTCCTCCTGGTCTCCCATGCGGATGCAGGGTCCAAGGACCTGGGCCATCCTCCACTTCCTTCCTGGGCCACAGCAGAGAGATGGACTGGAAGAGGAGCAATCGGGACAGAATCCGGTGCCCCAACCAGGACTAGAACCCTGGGGTGCCGGCGCCGCAGGCGGAGAATTAGCCTAGTGAGCTATGGCGCCGGCTGCAATTTCTGTCTTTAAATATGCCAAAACATCTTTGGAGTCAGTGACAGTCATTGAATCTTTTTTTTTTTAATTTGACAGAGTTAGACAGTGTGAGAGAGAGACAGAGAAAGGTCTTCTTTCCGTTGATTCACCCCACAAATGGCTGCCACAGCTGGAGCTACACGGATCCAAAGCCAGGAGCCAGGAGCCTCCTCCCGGTCTCCCATGCGGGTGCAGGGCCCAAGCACTTGGGCCATCCTCCACTGCCTTCCCGGGCCACAGCAGAGAGCTGGACTGGAAGAGGAGCAACCAGGACTAGAACTGGCGCCCATATGGGATGCCAGCGCCGCAGGCGGAGGATTAACCAAGTGTGCTACAGTGCCAGCCCGTCATTGAATCTTGACAGAGATATTTTTTCTTCCTTTCCAAGTCAAATGAGTA